ACTTTTACATGGTCACTCACACACTTTTTCACTATTTATGGCTGTCCCTAGGGGAACACCCATGGTTAGCCCACAAATCAACCCACCACACTTGGGTTCACGCAAACTTACCTATACACATTCCCAGCCTAAACAGGTATTCGTCATGTGACCCATTACATAGTTTGCACAATACATAAAATAAATACAATACAATATGAATACATATGATGATGTATATGTGTATGAATGTATGTATGTGCTGTTAGAATCTAAACAGGTTAATTATATGAGAGTTGTAAATTTTAAGGGTTTTTTTTATTATTATTTCAACATAATTTTAGTTTGATTTTTAAATTTTAAGGTGCCTCCAAGTCTAAAATCATGAATAAATCGGATCATTAGACTAGATTTTGGTTTTGAAATTTGCTATTGTTAGGATCATAAAAAACTTCATCTGATCATGGACATCTTTGATGCATAGCAAACAGCGAAAGGCACATAGCAAAATGAAGTTGCCATCTATTTCAGTTTATCTCAGTTGAACTGGTGTCTAAACGGGATCAAAATGGCATGACAACCATCAAGGCAAGATCCAATGCATTCCATCATGGTTGTGCGTGCTGCCACTCTATGCATGTTACGCATGGCCGTGTTTTCTCTACATACAATTGATATTATACATTGGTTTAAGCAAGAATATTTTCTTATTAATTTATTATAATTATTTTAAAGCAAAAAGAATTTGGACAAACTTGAGATATGCATTTAGTTCGACTCTTTTCTTATTCTTTTCTAAGTTCACACGTTTCAAGAATGTCCAAAATTTTAGTTTTTGGGCTCTATTCATTGTAAACTTAGTAGGCTAGTGTTTATCTCATTTGAGCTATAATAATGAATATTAAGCGTGTGTGTGCATAGGCATTCACCTTATTGGAACTATAATGATTAATATTGTGTGTGCACTCTTCCCATTTAACATTGCCTCCTTTGACATGTTATTTGTAGATTTGTGATTATATGATTTGCTATGGTTGCTATGTGTCGGCTGTGATCTAGATGGGTTGAGTAGGTGGAGGCACGGGTATACAATTTTTTATCAAATTTTGATTATATAGTGTTTTTTCTAACACAATTTATATGAATAAACACTTAAAATATGTCTAGGAACATTGTAGAGTAATCATCTAATTCACTTCATATAATAGGATTTTTGTCTTTGGGGGAATTAATTCTCAAATTCACTTTATATGCTGTTGTGAGAGATGATGAATAATGCGCAAAAACGAAATCTGGATATCCAATGCAAAACTTTCAACAGAAACGTACAAAACAAGAAAACTACATAAAACACAAAGAACACAAAATTTAATGTGAAAAAAACTTGAGAACGGGAAAAACCACATAGTGACAACACACCAAGAAATCACTATGAAAAAAATGGAGAGAATTGTACACACTACACCACACTCAAGTCCCTCCAAACTTTGGAACACTTCAGGACGCTCCTCTTCTCTTTTTTGCGTAAGAGAAATCGAAATCACATTCCCTCCAATCAGCAAAATCGAAACTTTAATCGGAGAATGACTCAACTTTGGTTATTGGCGTTGGGGTGTCGCTATAGTATCGTTGCACCTCGGTGCTCCAAAGGCATTGTGGTGCTGCATCCAAGCGTTGTAGTGTCATGCTCTCGGGCTCTGAAACATGGAGTGGCGATGTGGCACCGTCTTTCAGGCCCCAGGGCGCCACTAGCTCAGCGTTGGGGCATTACTTGTTCAACGCTGGGGCGCTAGGTGTGTTCAAAAAGAAAATTTAAAGGGCGGCACCCCTGAACCCAATGCAGGGGGGACGCCTCCTACCCCCCTGGCAAACTCACCGTCAAATTTGATCGGCGAAATTGAGGGCTCTGAGTGAACAATTAATTAACACAATTAGACTCCACATGTTAACATATGGTAGGATTTTTGGTTCTGAAAAGTTTTCCTTGTCGTCATAGATGCTTACTGTGTCATTGTTAACAAAAATTTGCTCATTGCAATAGGTGCCGTCATATCATAATTTGCTTAACATAAATATACACTATGTTCTAATTGGTCATCGTATTTATACACAATAAGCTATGTGGAATGCAGCGGTTCTCCAGCCAACTGAAAATAATCACATCGTTTTGTTGCACTTTCGGCGCAATAACTGATGTTTCGCAGTTAATGTATGATGACCAAGACACTTGACACTTGAAGGGAAGATGTTCTTAGACTTCATCCAGTGATTGACACTTGACACTCATAATACACGTTTGAAGGGAAGATGTTCTTAGACTTCATCCAGTGATGCATTGTTGCTTGTACCGACATAGAGATATTCACATTATAGTCAATTGATAATGTTATTGTCTTTAGTTGCATTAGTTTAGTTTGTGTTGTCATTTTACACTTATGGTCATCAATCTTAGCATGCCCCTATCGTTAGTCTCATTTTAATTGCTTAAGTGACAATAAATTGAAATCCCTCTAACTTCTTAGAAGTAGGCATTTTTTATGTGAATTTGAACCTATACCAGATTTATTATCTTTTTTCTCTCCCATTCAGAGGCTTTTCACGTGAGACTTTTAGAGTGTTTTCTGACTTTTCGTGATAATTACATGTAACTCTCAAATTTCATAAGCTGTAGAAATATTTTTTTAGCACACAGTAACTTGTTGTTGTCGGGGAACCTTCTGGCATTCATTGATTTGCAAAAAATATTCATTGAAGGATCTTAACACCTATTAGAATGTCCCCGACTAATTGTCATCCTTTGCTCATCAATTGGTTTTATCTCATAGGTTCTTCTTCTTCAATGACAAACAAGTGCAACGCCTAGAATACTGCTATTAGAGTTCCTTGATTTGCATCTCGTAAAACTTAAATTTGATCTACAACATTGCAACTTATAACAAAAAAGTTGGCAGTCCTTTGAGCAATAGCAAGGTGATCACTTAGTTGATGACAGATTTAAAGTTATTAGCGATTGTCCTCTCACATCAAAACAACTACTAACTAATGATCTTGTGGTGCCATATGTTAATAATTTATGGATCGTCAACTCTATCCCCTTTGATATTTTGATCTCAAAGGGGGCGCTTTTTTCTTATTATGTTTGTTGGTAAGTAACATTGAGGTGGGAAAAGCTGGGTACAATATTAAAATGATTTTTGTTAACAGTATGTGTTCAATTGGCATCCTTTTTTCTTGCAAGGGATGAGGGGATTGTACCTTTTGTCACCTTTAATAATCCATTTGGATAAGTTAGTAATTTAGGGTGCGTTTGGGGGAGCTTATTTACAGCGGTGGCGTTTTCAAAATGCCATCATCTGTTTGGAAAAGGAGTTTCTGATGCGTTTTTAAAAACTCTGTTTCTTCTTTACTATTAGACCCGGATCGCGGGCGCGATCCGCGTTTCAAAGAGCCGAAAGACGAAAGTTG